AAGAAAAGCTGCATTTCCCCCAGGTTTCTAAAGAGACCAGTTTTCTCTTCCCTCTGTCATTAATCAAGCAAAGTGGAATGTTCAGGGAGCTATTACAGAGGCAAACAGCAGGAGCTGACCTCTGACCACATCCTCAGACAGGCTCTGGTTGCCCAGCAAAGTCAGACAAGCAGCCGACAGAGGGTCTAGCTGGGAAGACAAGCTGACGCCCAGATGTCACAGCTTGAAGAATCCATCCCAGGCAGGGTCTCTCTGCCAAACTGCTGCCAGCCCACCTGTCCTGAGAGGGTACTATGGCAAAGCCTCAGGAGGAAGCAGATGGTGGCAGAGGGCAAAGGGGACACTGGGAGAAGCTCTGCTCGCTGCTGAATCTGAGGGAATGGCATGGAGAGTAGAGAGGCATCTTTCCATACCCAAGGCTCTCTGGGCTCCAAATGCACACGTGGCCACCTGCAGTCAGAACAACAACCAGTTGCACCCAAGGAGAACACCTGTGCAATGGTCTCTGACAAAGGCTTTTCCATTCTCCTTGTTAAATGATCCCATCTGGGTCTTCAGGGTTAAGTAAGCCACTGAAAGTGACATGAAATCCAAAGTAGCTGCTGCAGTGACACTTGGTGATGCTCCAGAGGAAAGGCTTCTATTGACAGGTTGACAAAAACCATGTAGTCAGAGAAGAGTATAGAAAGCCCTGAAGAAATAAGAATGTTGTGAGGAGGGGAACCGAAATGCTTTAATAGATTGAGCACAAAGAAGGAGTGATTCCATCAAGCCATTTAACAATTTTAAAATGCACAGAGATGAGAAATTCCAACTTGAGGGAGCATTTTATAATAATACCACATTAGCCCCCACAGCTTAATTCAAGGATCCGACTCCACAGTGACCAGACAACACAGTTTATATAATTTCCCTGTCACCCTTTGGAAACACATTTGAATATAAATGGGGTGGCAATGTGATAATATGTCTGTTGCAGCCCTGAAGTCGCTGGGCAATGCGGTTCCAAAGACAGAGTACACTGCAGATTTTCCTCTGAGCAAAGGCATCTGTGAAATCTTAGCAAAGTCTCAGGGTTCTGAGGAACTGGTTATCATTTTTATTACTGGTTGAGTCAGACAAGCCCTAAACTAACTTGTCAAGGAAACAAGAATGAGAAACAACCAAATCAGACAGTGCTTTGTAGGGAAAAATAAAAAACAGTATTGCATGCTGGTAAGTACAATGGTTTTGGAGCAACAAGAAGTCCTGTATTTAGGTATTTTGCTTCCAAGGGACTTTCTTTCTACTAAATAGGAACCAAATTGATTTGCTATAATAGTTCTTGGTTGACTATAGAGCATAGAACGCCTTAACCACAGCCCTAATTGAGGAAGATGGAGTTTCCGAGGCCAGCTCAGCAGAGAAGCCAAGAGATGGATGGATGATCTTGCAAAAATTCCCTGTTCTTGTTGGTCTAAACCAGAATTATCATCTCAAGAGCAGCCGTCTGGAGGAAGAACTAAAGATGAACTTAGAGAGCTCCATTTCCAAAAGGATTTTCATTAATTTCATCAAGACAAAGTTAATAACCCATGACATAAATGGTTTTTGTTCCTTGAGTTAGTTGTTCTAAACATGTTAGAGTCTTCTCGATAAATCTCACAGCTAGAGGCTAGTAGAAATTAGTTTGCCTTCTACACTGTCGTTAAGAAAAAAAGAAGTAGTAATAGCTATTGAGGAAACTTGAAGGGAATAGCTTATAAATGAGATGAATCTACGAGCTGCCCAAATAGTTGTTGGGCAGGATGAGTAAATAAATCCACATTTTCCTCTGATCATACTTGCCTCACAAGGAAGCAAATGCAACCAATGGAGATAGATATCCCTTTAATAAAGTCTTTTATTTATATATATTTATATAAAGAGGCATCTAGAGTCAGTTTAACTTGAGTTAAGACCTGCAGTCTCGCCAGGCTCAGTGGTTCAGCCTGTAATCCCGCGCTTTGGGAGCCTGAGCCTGAGGGTTCAAGACCCACCTGAGCAACTTGGCGAGACCTCATCTCTACGATAAATCAAAAATTAGCTGGGTGTGGTA